AAGGAGAAACAAGAAATTTGCTTTTCCAGCCTCTCCCATAGCAGGAGCACAGGTATGTGACCTAGGCTCTGCCAGAGACCTAAATTTAGAAAAGGGCAACACAAGGAGTCAAGGGGTTATGAAAGCCATCCTCTCCCAAAGTTAGTGGCAGAAGGGTCCAATTTGCAGATACAGCAGTGACAGAGACTCTGGGCCCCATCACTGGCTTGCATTGCTAACTCTGTATTCAGAAGGGGCAGTAGTGGGCAGGCACCTTTTTTTCTTGCTGTATGTGGGCCTCTCACTGTTGTGGCCTCTCCCGTTGAGGAGCACAGGCTCAGCGGCCATGGCTCATGGGCCCAGCCGCCCCGCAACATGTGGGATCTTCCCGGACCGGGGCACGAACCCGTGTCCCCTGCATCGGCAGGCGGACTCTTAACCACTGTGCCACCAGGGAAGCCCCGGGCAGGCATCTTTGATGGTGCAGCCCCGCAGTGAGATTTAGACATTATTCCTGGCTTTGGAATCTCCAAAGCCTTCTCGGAGAGCCTGTGGGCCACTGTATATCCTTTAATAAACTCATTTTCTTCTTAAACTACTAGGAGTGTTGAATCACCTTAGGTGATGTTATACCCCAAATCTTAGTTTACACTTATCAAGGTTTATTTTTCACTCCTGTTCCTGCACAGGTTGGCTGCAGTTCTGTAACATGTGGTCTTCCCTGTAAGACACAGGCCAGCCTCTCTCTGGGGCACTGCTGTGCTCATAACAAAGGGGAAACATCAAAGCAGCACCCTGCAAGCTGGCTCTTCACACCTGTGCTTGGAAGTGAGGCACATCGCTTCTGCCCACACCCAACTGGCAAAAGTCAGTCACTCGGTCAAGACTATCAGTGGGGCAACTGTGTAAAAATCCCATGTAGAGAAGAGCAGTAAATATTTTGGGCAAGAAGGTTCTGCTGTAGGCAACTCACAGCCCCGTCTGATATAATGCAATAATCAGATGACAGCAGAACCTCCAGCCTCTGGATTAGCTCACGTTGAGTCCAGGGTGAACACGGAAATGTCTCTTCTCAGGAATTCACAGAAAAGGCCCAGGATTAGCTTTGATTGGGACTGACCTGGCGTGAGTCATTCCCCAACCCTGAACAGATTCATTCAAGACATATTCATTGAGCGGTTACTATGCACTAGGCGCTACTTAGGTTCTATGGAATACAGCAGTGAACAAAACCAAATCCATGCCTCATGGAACTTTCATTCTAATTGAGAATGACAGGGGACAGACAATATCTAGAAATAAATAAATATCTCGAAAATTAGATAGTGATAAGCACTGTAGAGAAAAACAAAGCAGGAAAGGGGGATACTAAGTTTCCAGGGTGAAGGGGAAAGGAAAATAGCAATTTTTAAATAGGGCAGTCAGGAAAGGCCTCACTGAGAAGATATCTGGGCAAATACCTGAGCAAGATGAGACAGCAAGCAATGGGGCCACCTAGGTAAAGAGCAGTAAAGGCTGCGAGAACAGCAGGTGCAAAGGCCCTGAGGCAGAAGAGTCCTACTGTGTTTGAAGAACAGCAAGCAGGCAAGTGTGGTCCTGTAAAGGCAATGTAATAGGATATATGATCAGAGAGGTAATAAGTGGAAGATCAGATCATGTAGGGCCTTGCAAGCCACTGTAAGGCTCTGGCTTGCTTTCTAGTTAAGGTGGGGAGCTATTGAAGGGTTTTGAGCAGAAGTGACACAATCTAACTTAGGTCCTAAAAGGATCACTCTGGCTACTGTGTGGAGAACAGTCTGTAGGGAGAAAATGGCAGAAGCCGGGAGGCCAGAATATGAGGTTCTTGGCAATGATCCAGACAAAAAGTGATGGTGGCTTTGATTAGTATGGTAGCAGGGCAGATGGTAGAAAGTGATTAGATTCTAGATAGATCTTGAAGGTGTAGCCAATAGGATTCGCTAGTGAGATTAGATTTGAAGTGTGAGGGGAAAAAAAGAATCAAGTATGATTTCTTCCATTTTTTTCTACGTTTTAGGCCTAAATAACTGGAAAGATGAGGTTGCCCTTATCTGAGACAAGGAAGACTGAGAAAGGAGAGGGGATGGAGATCGGGAGTTTAGACACAGACAGAATAGGATTGAGATACCTATTAGACATTTAAATGGACATGTATAGTAGGTAGATTTGGAGTTTGGGGGAAAAGTCTGGACTAGAGATATAAATTTGGAATTCATCTAGGTTACAGACCATATTTAAAGCCATTGGATTAAATGAGGTCACCAGAGTGGTGAGAATGAATAGAAAAGTCCACGAACTGAGACCTGTGGAACACCCATGTTCAGAGGTCAAAGAGATGAGATCCAGCAAAGGTGACTGAGAAGGGGTGACTGGTGAGGTAGGAAGCAAAAATCAGGAGAGGGTGGCATCCTAAAAGCTGGGAGGGGAAAGTGCTTCCAAGAGGAGCAGAGGAACCGGAGAGAGCACCTAAAGACATATTTTCTAAGAGTTTTGCTATAAAGGAGAGCAGAGAAATGGGAGTAGTTGAGGCAGCAATGAGATTAAGAGATTACTTTTTAGTGATGAGAAAAAAATTACAGTATGGGACTTCCCTGGTGGCACAGTGGTTAAGACTCCGAGCTCCCAACGCAGGGGGCCTGGGTTCAATCCCTGGTTGGGGAACTAGATCCCACGTGCATGCCGCAACTAAGAGTTCACATGCCACAACTAAGGAGCTGGAAAGCCACAACTAAGGAGCCCACCAGTCACAACTAAGACCCAGTGCAACCAAATAAATAATAAATAAAATTTAAAAAAAAATTACAGCATGTTTGTATGCTGACGGGAATGATCCAATAGAGGAGGTAAATAAAGATGCAGGAGAGGGACTTCCCTGGTGGTACAGTGGTTAAGGATCTGCCTGCCAATGCAGGGGACACAGATTCAAGCCCTGGTCCGGGAAGATCCCACATGCCACGGAGCAACTAAGCCTGTATGCCACAACTACTGAGCCTGTGCTCTAGAGCCCGCAAGCCACAACTATGGAACCTCGGTGCCACAACTGCAGAAACTCAGTGCCACAACTAATGAAGCCTGCGTGCCTAGAGCCCGTGCTCTGCAACAAAGAGAAGCCACCAAAATGAGAAGCCCGCACACCGCAACGAAGAGTAGCCCCTGCTCGCTGCAACTAGAGAAAGCCCACGTGCAGCAATGAAGACCCAATGCAGCCAAAAATTTTTTTAAAATTTTTAAATAAAATTTTAAAAAATAATAGTAATAAATAAATAAATAAAGATGCAGGAGAAAGAGGGGAGTTGTTGCAGGGCTTTCCTCGAGTAAGCAAGCGCAGGTGGAGGGCTGGGTGTCGACAGGAACTCAGTCAAGTCATCTAGGGCAGGAGTTCTTAACTATGGCATGATTGACATTTGGGGCCCAGTTATTTCTTGTGGTGCGTGGCTGTTCTGTGCACTGCAGAATGTTTCATGACATCCCTGGTCTCTACGCACTAGATGCCAGTAACACACTAACCCTGACAGCCCAGAGTGTCTCCAGACATCTGCAGATAGCCCCCAAGATTTTGCCCCCTCCCCCAGGGAACATTTTGGGTTCTCACAACTCGGGGAATGGTGCTATGGGCATCTAGTGAGTAGAGGCCAGGGATGCTGTGCAACATCCTACAATACACAGGACAGCCCCCCACGACAGAGTTACCCGGTCCCAAATGGCAACAGGGCTGTGGTAGGAAATCCCTGATCTAGAGGCAGGGCCCTGGTCTACATCTAGGAGGGCACAGATGCAGGCAGGTGAGCAGATGTGGGGCTTTACCTGTGGAAGTTCTCTTCAGGTTGCTTGCATTTTTTTTTCACTGAATTAAGGAAGCAAGGTCATCAGCTGTAGGTGAGGTTGGGGAAGGAGGTACAGGAAGTTTAGGGAGAGAAGACATGAACCTGTCCTCTAGGTGAGGTGGAAAATGAACGGACAGGGAAAGTAGACATGATTCTGGGCCTCATTAAGAACACACTTGAGGTACTTACTCAAGAATTTAATGTGAAGCCAGTAGGCCTGAAGGTGTGTTCCTCCTGGGGCCATATTCAGAGGCAGAGTGGGGAAACAGTTGGATTTAACAGACTGGTTTCGCCAACAAGTACAAGCAACAAAGGGGCAAAGGAGTGATAAAAATGACCACAGAACTTGAACTGGGTAAGAAGACTGAGGGATGTAATTAACTATGAAAAGGTAGGTGGGCAAAAAGTAACGAATACCCATTCCAACAGGCTAGTTTCAAATGTTCTGATGAGCCGTGAAAGGGGAAAAATAAGGTGAACTCTGTCATACTAAGCTAACCACTCACTTTCCTCAGTAAATACTTGAATATACACTGAAAGACAAAGTACAATCATTTCTAAATGAAATCAGGTCAATGGAGCTTCCTAAGTCAGCTCGGTGTTTGGGGCCATGGTTTCCTTGGTTGACGAAAGCCAAACCATCAGTGAAGGAAGCCATCAGTGAAGGAAGCCATCAGTGAAGGAAGCCATCAGTGAGGAAACCATCAGTGAAGCCAAACGCTGGGGAAGCTACACTAAACACCTGAGAGATCAGAGGACTCAAAAAGTTTGAAGTGACTTCTAGTCTTTATTTGCTAGTTTGTTTATTTCTCTCGTAGTTGTTCAGATGATTATGGGCAGACCCAGGGGTCACAGGCCTCACAAATCTGACTGAACAGACTAAAGTGCCAGGGGAAACTGTGGCCAGCTGCAGCACAAGCCATGACGCTGGTGGTATCAAGGTGTAAGTAAGTCATCAACAGCGGTTTACGACAGGCTCTTAGGTCTGGCTTTTAGGGATTTCATTTTAAAATTACAAAAGACAAAAAAGGTATCCACTTCCTCACTGGCATGCATACAAAATATTACAAGAGACCAATGGCACTCTTATGGGAACAACATGTAGCCTCTATGAACACGGGCCTCCCCAAATCACTTAGATATCAGAAAACTGAGTATGAGCCCCGCCCCGCCACTCACCAGCAGAATGGTCTCGGCAAGACATTCGAACTCTTCGGCTTCAACTTCTTCAGCTGAAAAATGGAGATAGTAATACTTACCATGGCTACCTCATAGGAATGTATGTGAAAGTGCTTTGTAAACCATATTGCACTTTACTAGCAACAGAGATTGTGAATACACCTTGAAGGCAGCAGAGGAGTGGAACAAAAGTCTCCCTCCTTTTTGCTAAAGGCAGAATCCTGTGTTGCGTGCATCAGAGGTGTACCAGCCTCTTTTCTTTGTGTGGGAACCTGGCCAAAGCTTGCACGTGGCGAACCCACCCTTATAGCAAGGGCAGACAGAAAGCTCGAGGAAGGGCAAAGTATTCCCTAGAGACAAACCAAAACACGACTAGTGATTGTAATTTTAGGCCCAATTCTTGACAGCCTTGTTTTGAACTGAAAAGGGTTTGGCAACGGGTTATGGCAACGGGTTAAATATACTGATCACTGGGCATCATGGGAATCATTATGGCTCACTGACTAGCAGGAAACATGGAGTTTTCATGAATTCATCCTCTGCCTAGTGGCTGTCCACTCATGGTCATCTCATGGCTCACAACCTAAGCGTCAAGTGCTCAAGAGGCCTCTCGAAACATATCAACAAAAAGGCATTCTGGAAGGGGTCCACGATGAACATTACAGGGAGCTAACTAGGATACAGGAAACCTGGTACTAAAGAACCTAAGCCAGCCTGCCTCTAACTATTTCTGTGGAAAAATTTACGTGGCAGATAAGTGCCTCCATTTACCCAACCCAGAAAGTAGAGATAACATTTAGACCCAGAGGGGAAAGGGGGTGTCTAGTCCAGCCCATGCATTTCACAAAGGGGGATACAGAGGCTTGGAAAGTGAACTGATGTTCAAGAGTACACAGCTGGTGAGTAGCCAAGGCAGCGCTAGAATCCAGACTACCACCCCCAGATTAGTGCACCTTCCACCCACCTGTTTCTCCCAGGGGTCTTCCCAGGAAGACAGGAGTTGGGTGAAGGGGTTGCTTTCATACAATCAGTATCACTTCTCCATCATTATGCCAGCCTCAAAGTCAGATGCCTGGGAAAGGACAGCCGCAGCCTTTAGCCACTCCAACTCACCACTGAAAGAGCTACCCCCCACCCACCCAAATGGTTTCAAGTGCGTTTTCAAGCTTGAGGATGGTGAGCAATCCCAGGATGGTGACGAAGATCCATCCAGAAGCACTGGGGAGGGCAAACGGCACGGACAATGGAAACCAAGAAACGATACCATACAGGCGGCCTTCGTAATGGAGGGTCCCAGCACCTTATCGGGACCACAGTCCAGGAAGCACAGGGGCAGGCTCATGGGCTGCACTCTCACGGGCCCACGCTGCGGTCAATGCTCTGCTGTCACGGTTGTGGAATTGTCAATAACTTATGATCAAGGAAGCTGATATTTTCATTTTGCATTGGGCCCCTCAAATCTTGTGGCCGGTCCTGCTTCCCCCTCCCCGCGCCAGCCCAAGAGACGGCCTGTTTATACCGGCCTCCTCACCCCTCCCCTACCCCAGACAAATAAGATCAAACAAGTCCTGTAATTTTTAGCCCCTCTGGGGCTTCGGAAGGGGAAGAATGTTGTGGAAAAGGTCAGGGGAGCATTAAGAGCCTGTATCCTCGGGGAAGAGGCAGAGTGACCAGCTGCCTTTTCCAACCCTGGCAAAATAAAGGCCAATATAAAATTGAGGCCCCAGCCCTCCCCCCCAGCCCCGCGCTGCCTGAATCTTCGGCTCCTTGTGGTGCTCCTGTGCGCCCTGCTCCGGACTCAAGGCTTCCTATGCTGCCGGAAGCGGCTCAGTGTGCCCGTGGGGAAAGTGGGGAAGTGCGGGTCCCTCACAGGCTGAGGGGAGCTGTCAAAAGGGGCCGCGCCCCGGGCACTGTCCCCTTCCGCCCACCGGGCCGACCTCGCCGACGCCCGGCCTTCGGGAAAGTTTGGGAAAGGGTGACTAGCGGGGCGGCGCTCTGGCCAGGAGGGTAACCCCTCGCCCCGGCCTCCCCGTGGTCGCAGGGGCGACGAGTTCGGCGGGGAGGGAGGACGAGCTACCCAGACGCCGGAGCCGGAGCCCGCCACCTGGCCGCGAACACCAAATCTCACAGGCGGCGCGGGGCCACGGCGGGGGTGGAGTTACGGCGGATGGGCGGAGTTTCAGCCGAGGAGCCGGTTCTCATGTGACACTATGAATAAAGTAATGACAAGCAAGGCTCGCGAGGGGGTTCCATAGTGTAGTGGTTATCACGTCTGCTTTACACGCAGAAGGTCCTGGGTTCGAGCCCCAGTGGAACCAGACTTGCACTGCTGGTTTTTCAGTTTTTAAAGATGAGAAGTGCTTTTCTTTCTCCCATTAATTTTTCTTTTTAATCTTTATTTGTCTACTTTTTGGAATGTTTTTATCGCAGAAGCGTAATAACAGATAGCCACTCCTCCCATCCCTGCCGTCCTCGCCCGACCTAGGAAACACCGTAAGTGGGGGCCTGGCCGTGTTGTAGTCCCGGGGGCGACCCCGCCCCGCCAGGGTCCTACCCCGACCTCTCCTTCGGTGCTCCGGGGCGACCTCGGGAAATCCGGCGCTCGTGGGAACCAAGATCACCCAGCACGGCCCCTTCCTTACAAACCAGGGCAGGCCGGCCCTCCAAAGCCTCCAACTAAACTATGGCCGTACAGCGGTGCTTTGACTGCAGTTAAATTATTAAAGGTTTATTATTATTAAAGGTTTAATTTTTTCAATAAACTCTAAAATACAGAGCAGAGAAAAAAATAGTTCTTTTCTTTCTAGTACTGCAGTAGGGTTTCTTAAAGAGACCTTCTTCTGTTTAATGAAGAATCCATACATAGTAGAGAATGAGCGTCAGGCTTGTGGACACCCCCAAAATGCTGATTGAATGAGTAAACTTTAGTTCCTTTTTGTTCCTCTGTATTAGTTCATTACAGCTTCGCTTTGGGGGGTTATTATTTACCTTTTCAATATTGACCTTTTTCATCTTTGACAACAGGAGTGAAGTAAAGGTCTCTGGGACCCTGGGGCATTGAGGTGAAAAAGCTCAAGAACTAAAGTGGTGGCCAAGAACTAAAGAGGGAAGCGGATTAATGTACAGCATGGTGATTACAGTTAACAATATTGTGTACTTGAAATTTGCTAAGAGAGTGGATCTTAAATTTTCTCACCAGACACACAAAAAATGGTTACTTTGTGAGATAATGGATGTGTTAACTAACCTTATTGTGGTAATCATTTTGCAATATATATGTATACGGAAAAAAAAAGGGAAAGGGAAACTCAGTATTTTTCTTTGAGTTTTTCCACATAGTTTTGTTCATACAGTGGGTAAATTTGTATCCTTTTCTAACTCAGGAGTATAACACATGATTGTCCTTTTTATTACAATCACTTCATTAACTTTTTTTTTTAAACCTTCTTAACCGTTTTTAAGTGTATAGTTCCGAAATGCTAAGTAAAGTCACACTGTTGTGAAAAAGATCTCCAGAACTTTCCTACCTCGGAAAACTGAAGCCCTGTATCCATTAAACAACTCCCCTCCCCACCCCATCAACTTTATTGTTATTGGCTGTATAGTAATAATAATAGCTAATTATGTTAAACACTATTCTAAGTATTTTTTTAAGTATGTCATCCCATTTAAGCCTCAAACTAACTCTATGAAATAGGCATTATTATCACCATCATACAGATGAGAAACTTGAGGCACAGAGACCTTAAGTGACTTTCCCAAGGCTATATAACAACTGGTTGAGCCGGGATTTGCATCCAGTCTGCCTTGGGAATCTGTGCTCTTAACCCTGCCTGCTGTCCTGAATCTCCTATGTAGATTGTTTCCAATTTTGTCTTATTATAAATAACACAGCAATGTAAATCTTTGCGTGTAACTGACCTCCCCCTCCCAATTTAGTATTTTCTTGAGTGAATAGGTGTAAACATGATGCCACAACTTGCTTTCTGAGAGGGGGAATCCATGTCATTTTCATAGAATTCGAGAATGTTAGTGTTTTGTTTGGCAGGAAATTGCTCAAGGTCACCCCCTAGAAGACGAAGGCAGAGAAAGGATTAAGACCTGGGTCTTCTGATTCTAGTTTCTATTTTCCTCCACTGCTTCCCTTACATTTAAAGATAGAATAAAGCCAGTACCTTCCTTTGCTAAACTGACCTCAGTTGACATTAGCTTCTCCTCTGAGACTTCTTATTGAGACAGGTAACTATGTGGGTTAACTTAGCGGGGCTTGGCCAAAGCCCTAAGAAGTAAATGAAATAAGATGCTTAATGAGGCCAGTGCTCAAGTTTAAGCTGCTGTTCCTAGGAAAGCTCTCCACTTTGATAAGGAAGAGCAGCAGCTAAGGACAAGGGGAGAATGCCACACAAGATAGAAGGCTTCTTGCTTTTACTTCTCTTTGGCTCTGAAGGTATGTGCTGTCAAACCATTAGCACTCATTAAATACCTAATAATACAACTGACTTAATCATACAGCTGATTAATAGAAATGCAACCAGAATAATTAAAATATTATCAATTAGCAAAGCATGCTAATTAATTAATGTGTTATTAATGAACAACAGTTGTCTTTGTGTGATGCAGTCCTCTTTGTCTCACCACTGGCTTTCTGGTTCTGTGAGGAGCCTTCTGAAATTCAAAGGATGCTTAAAATGGGACAGAAAGAAGGAAGGGTCTCAAAAATCGTATGAAATAGCTATAAATTGCAGCAATTAATAAGAAAGTGTGGTGTATTCTTGAAAGTTTTTGGGAGTCAAAGTTAGAGTGACTATAGAATTTAGTCTTCCAAACCAGGACACTACTGAGAGTGGTGGAGGTTGCTATTAATAATTTTGCTGGGACAACAGGTGTGAACCAGGACTGTCCCAGGCAAATCAGGATGTAAGGTCACCCTAGTTTAAATATGGATTAACATAGCACGCCGAATACAACTGGACACTAATAGAAAGCATAATCCAACTGAGAGTCAGGAATCCCCAAAGACTCAATATACTCAATCATTTTAAAATTTCTAAATATAGCCCTAGCGGGAGTGAAATGCTTAATTAAGGAGAAATTAAAGGCAAATCTCTAAAATGTCATCCAATTCAACTTTTAAATTCTCTGTCAATCTTTGAAATCATGCTCTTTCATGCCTCTCTCAACTCTTAAGGACCCATCAACTCAGACATTAGAAATTGGTTCTTTGTGGTCACTGTGTATTTATGTGCGTTACAGGAAATAAATAAGGAGGGCAGGAAGGAGACCTCTCCGCTCTGCCAATGACCTGGTAGACAGACATGACAAAACTCACACAGAGTCAGAATCCCTGGTTTAAATCATTCTCTTCTCTACTCTCTCATTATATTTTATTGGTAGAATACTCACTTTCATGATTACCCAATCTCAAAACTTGTGTTAGTCACATTTCTCAGTATTTGGAAACGCCTGTAAAAATATAACCCCAAGGTTATTTTGCAAACCCCCAAGACATATTTCTAAGTGGGGGGAGGGGTGTTGTTTTTCCTTTACTCCGTGCCTCTTCCTCACCAAGAAAATCTAAACAGAACCTTTCAAGGCTTAGATCCCAATACCCTTGGTTCTCAGACATCCTCAGGGCTCACCCTCAGACTCCTCTTATTTGTGATTGGCATTGAGATTCATTCATCCATTGATTCATTCAAGAATCCATTGATGTCAGTTCAAGAATCCATTTCTGAGTTCCTGCTGTGATAGGCCAAATGCTGTGTAAGAACTTGATACACCTGGCAGATTCTTGTTTTCGCTGTGCCAACTCTAAAATCTTTGTTCTGTGACCCCTAAATGGGAATAAGCCCTAGAAAAGGTTATCAGGCCACTTTTCAATTACACCCGCGCAGTCAGGGGATAACAGTAATAAAAGACACGCTGCCAGGAGGCACAGTGCACAGCACTCTTTCCTGTTCTTAACAGTAATAAAAGACACGCTGCCAGGAGGCACAGTGCACAGCTCTCTTTCCTGTTCTATAGCTTATCAATCTTTGTGCATGGCTGGGGAGCTCCAGAAATTTCCACGAAGAACAGAGAATCCCATCTGTCCTGGTGGAATGGAATGTGGTCCAGCTGGTAGGCTTGAAACACTTAAATTCTCTTACCCACCTAACCCAGGCCCTCCACCCTCACGGGCATCGAAGGAAAGCAGCCACACCAAAATTTGGCTTGGCAACCTAGGTGTGCTCTACCCTGAGCTAGAGGGATACGCCAGGAGGCAGAGAAAAAAGGCAGAATACAACTGCTGCACTTAATCAGTTTACAATCCAGATAGAGAAATAAGGCCAATGCACAGGG